ATGTCCACCATATCTAACTCCTCAGGAAAAGGTGGTCCTGCAGATACAGTAGCTTGGTAATATAGGGCTTTAAAGGTGATGACCAGCACCTTGAATTGCACCCAGAAAGAAACTGGAAGCCAGTGCAGCTCACTCAACAGAGAGGTCACATGAGCAAACCTAGGGGTTCCCATTACTACGCACATATGCTGGATTCTTTACCATTTGAAGTTTCTGGGTGATTTTCAAGGGGCAGCCCCATGTAGAACACATTGCAGTAATCCAAAAAGGAGGTGACCAAAGCATGAGTCACCAAGGCAAGGCAAGGCAAGGCAAGGCAAGGCAAGGCAAGGCAAGGCAAAATGGAACTTTCCCAGAGGAAAGTTGGGGTCGGGGGTGGGGCTGGTCCCACCTACTTTATTGGATTTTATTTGTCTTTTTAAAATATATTTATTGTATTTCTATATTTTGTAAGCCACCAAAAGTCTTGGGATAAAGCAACATACAGATTTGATAAATAAACAAACAAACACGACTAAAACAGTAAACGTAAGAGAGTCAGATGATGATGCTAGGTTAGGAACCAGGAGATGGTGAGTTCTAGTTCCATCTTAGGTACAAAGCCAGCTGAATAACATTGTGCCAGTCATTCTCTCTCAGCCCTAGGAAGCAGGCAATGGCAAATCACTTGCAAAAAATCTTGCCAAGAAAATTTTAGAGATAACGTAAAATTAGGAGTTGTTTGGAGTCAACACTTCCTTGAAGAACAAAAAAGAAAAATATAAATTAAAATTGAAGGACTAAAGCTTAAAATAATTCTTTAAAAAGTTTCCTGTTACCTAAAAAGGTAGATACTTTTTTAAAAAAATCACCGGGCTTTTATTTGCTCCCAATTTTTTTAACAGTACCTCCTAAAAATATTTTATGCTTGAACTGTTAAAATTGTTAATGTGTATCTGTATGTGTTAACAGATTCTAACATCTTAAGCAGGACACGTTTACTGTGAATTATAAAGAACTTGGTAATTAATTATAAATTACAACGCTGGATTTTAATAAGATTGCAACTGAAGCTCTCATCCGTGAAATCATGATGTATAGTTATTATTCCACTATTGTTAAAATCTATGTAACTCACATCCCCCTAACAATTCACTGCAGGTGATTTTTCCAATCCACAGAATTTTTCTTTTCTTTTCTTTTTAAAGTTGTTGCCAATTAAATATTCTAAAAAGTTAGAAACTGCAACTATTAATATGAAGTGGCTAATTATTTGAACAAAAACTCAGCTTTGCCATCAACCAGGAACATGCTTAGTTGGAGATAAGTCCTCTTGAAATCAATGGGACTTATTTCCATGCAAATTTGTCAAGGATTGAGGTTTAAGAGACTTTTAAAGCAGAAGCTTGATATTCAAACCTACATTGCTGGTTGCCAAGGGCTGGTCTTCTTTTCCCCATTTTTTTTTTTTGGAATGACTTCATGAATATCATTGCCAATTGAAAGTGCAAAAAGGTTTAATAGCTCCTTGCAAAGTAGTGGATGAGGGTGAGCAGAGATCCTTGGAGGTGGGGGAGAAAAGACAATTCATATTTTATGGATTGCAACACAAAAATAAGCTGAATGTAAATTGAAGAGTAAGATTCAATAACAGTATCTTAAAGGTGAAAATTCAATGAGCAAAATCATTTATCTAATGTCCCCAGAGACAAGTTCATTGTTTAATAATGAAATCTGTGACCAAGAATTACTTTTAGGTTTTTATCCTATGACACTTGTCAGGCTGTTTGATTTCTGACCTCACAATCCTTTAAAAAGACCTTAGACTGGTTTTGCACATTGTGTTGATCCAGAATGTGGTTTGTTTGCTTTCATTTAGCATGAAGTGGGAAGACTGCTATTATGTCTTTAAAATGTCTTTATAATGTTTTTTTAAATAATTTTTCTATGTTCATCGTTCGCATTATTTTTGCTGTAAGCCGCCCAGAGTCCCTTGGGAATTGGGCGGCATAGAAATGCGATAAATTAAATTAAATTATTATGGCTTGCAAGTTGTGATTTAGGGTTTCGTATACAGGTAGTCCTTGACTTATAACCGTTCATTTAGTGACCAAAGTTGCAACGGCATTAAAAAAAAAGTGATTAATGACCCTTTTTCATACTTATAACTGTCACAGCTTCCCCAGGGTCATGTGATCAAAATTCAGATGCTGGACAACTGGCATGTATTCATGACGGTTGCACTGTGTCCTGGGGTCATGTGATCGACTTTTGTGATCTTCTGAGAAGCAAAGTCAATGGAGAAGCCAGATTCACTTAGAAACCATGTTCTTAAAACTCTGCAGATCCCTACTTTATCCCAAAGGTGCTTTTTTTCAAGAGGCAAATGGACTTTCTTGTTTTTCTTTGAAGACGTTTCGCTTCTCATCCAAGAAGTTTCTTCAGACGAGCACCTTTGGGACAACCATAACCTGGATGACTGAGAATCTCCATAGACATCCCTACTTTACATTTCTCCCCTAGAGCCTCTAATTCACAAAGCCTCTAATTCATAGACTACCAAGGCCAAAGAATTGATAAATAGGCTAGAAGGCAGGAGACCATGAGTTCCAGTCCTTCCTTAGCCATAAAAGTTGGCTGGGTGTCTTTGGGCCAGTCACTCACTCTCAGCCAAACTCATCTCAGGGGTTGTTGTTGTTGTTGTGAGGAAAATAGGAAAGGGGAGGCGTGTTAATGTGTTCCCCATCTTTAGTTGTTTGTAAAAAGAATAAAGGCAGGATATAACTAAATAAATAAATAAAAACAATATAAAATAACTTGACTGCTTTTATTTATTTTACCAGTGGTGAAATCCACATTTTTTTACTACCGGTTCTGTGGGTATGGCTTGGTGGGTGTGGTGTGGTTTGGTGGGCGTGGCTTGGTGGGCGTGGCAAGGGAAGGATACTGCAAAATCTCAATTTCCCTCCCCACTCCTGGGGGAAGTATATTGCAAAATCTCCATTCCCACCCCACTCTGGGGCCAGCCAGAGGTGGTATTTGCCGGTTCTCCAAACTACTCAAAATTTCCGCTACTGGTTCTCCAGAACCTGTCAGAACCTGCTGGATTTCACCCCTGCGTTTTACTGATCTGTTTACACTTCGTTATTACATTTTGCTAATGATGTTTATTTCCATGCCGGTTTCGATAATAAGTCTGTCTGTCTGTCTGTCTGTCTGTCTGTCTGTCTGTCTGTCTGTCTGTCTGTCTATCTATCTATCTATCTATCTATCTATCTATCTATCTATCTACCACCCATCTTGCCGTGGGGCTACTCTTAACTTGTACCCAACTTGTAACTGAAACTCCTGTGTTGCATTGCTTTGGCTAAGCATGTTGGTGAGAAACCTGTGTGGTAGGAGTGGTATTCGCTTACCTTCGCTACCCGTTCGCAAATGTGAGGGCCTTCCACGTCAAAAATGTGGATAAATGGGACGTGATTATGTCCGGGTGGGTGGGCGGAGCCTCCGTCAGCCGCTGCTACCAGTTCAACCAAACCGGATAGAACCAGCTGAATACCACCACTGCTGTGCCTCACCTTAAGGGGGACGGTGACACTCTCTTTTAATGGGCTTGTTTCATTGTATTTTTTTTTAAGGTCGAAGGGACCCTCTTGGGAGGCTGGGCTTTATGTTTAAGTAATCTTTCCTTTAAGAGAAAGCTTTTGCATCTTAGCTTTTGATAATTGTGGGCTTATCCCCTTAGCCATTATATTTTTGAAACAGGAACTGTAAAAGGAAGGTAGAGCTGACCTTGAGGAAGATATGAGAGAACAGTTAAGGGAGGGGACAGAACAGACTCACACATACACAAAAAAAATTACACAACTCTGAGAAAGAGAGAAGCACGAGAGAGGAATTCAGATCACCTTGTTTGGTAGAAGGGTAAGTTAGAAAGAAACTTGGAAGAAGATGCTTTCAAGATTTTGTAATTCTATCTTACTGCAAAAGAGAGCAATTGTGGAATCCCTGCTGAGTTTATTTTTCACCTGGCCTCCTGCAAAAGGGCTAACAACTGCCTCTCCCCCACGAAAGAGGTTTCAATCATTCTTTGGCGAGCCTCTTTTCTTCTGCCTCCTGCTGAAGAACAGGACAAAAAGGCATGTTAAAAGCGGAGATCTTTCTGAAACTGAAGATGTTTCTTTGCTCGGAAAGGAACGGATCGGAAGCTTCTGCCATGCTTTGTGCCTGCCTGAAACTGTTTTATAGATTTGTGCAAATGCACACATCACAGCATGGAAGGCAATCAATAAAGGAGGGCAATTGTGAAGGGATGGAGGGAGGCCCATTCTTTTCTCCTCTTTTGTTTTTGGCAAAAATTAAACGGAGGTGGGAAAACATGCTCGCCTGAGGTTCATCTGTTGGCCACTTCTCTTTGGGAGGTGATGTATCTGGGAAAGGCTGAACAAGCGTGCAACTACATCAGCCTAATTTCCTGCTGGTCCCTCAACTGGGTACATTGTCTAGCATTGGGCAATCTTGGAAAAATCTGCTGCTTGCCTCCCCGAGCTCCGTTTCCTTTTCTCTTGTTTCCTATTCTTTCCCTGGCTGATTTAGGGTTTGGTTTAATATGATCGCGTTCCAATGGAGAAAACGATGACTCAAAGAAATTGTTCTCGGAACCTGCATGTACTGGCGACCTTGCTCAGATAAAGGTCAGCAGTTGCTCCATTGAAGAAGAAAAACTGATCAGCATGTAATGCTGCAAGTAAAAAGCAAAGGAAACTTCTGGGTAAGCAAGTTTGCATTGCCTTGAGAAAAAGTGGCTGGCGCAGTGGTTAGAATGCAGTCCTGCAGGCTACTTGATTGCTGGCTGCCAGCAGTTCAGCAATTCAATTCTCACCAGCTCAGAGTTGACTCAGCCTTCCATCCTTCCGAGGTCAGTAAAATGTGGACCCAGATTGTTGGGGGTATTGGAAGAAATATCCATCTGGTTCAGTTCCAAGCTGGGAGAAAGGCGCCGGAAATAAAACGGAGGCTGATTGGAAACAAAGAAGGTGGTTTATTGATGAAGCAGGCCCACCAACAGTGTGTGGTTCTGGGACATCTGACAAATTAGTTAGATGAGTGCTTTTTATACAAGTTCTGAAATGCTACTGGGGTGGGTGGGTTATGCAGTGTCTGAAATTCCCTTAGGAAATTGTGCAATGTAGTGAGCTCTGTGTCTTCTGCTAAATGGTAGTGGGTTAATCTTATTATGTCCTAAATGGTCATGCCCTGTTCTTAGAATTTTGGATGGAGGAGAATGTAAATTTTAATCCCATCGCTGGAGGTGAAGGTCTTTTTTTTCTGAATAGGCTGGCGGCTGGCCCAATCTTTCTTAATGGGCACAAAATATCTTCTGGGGGCTATTAAGAAAGCCTGACTCTGCTTTCTGTCTTTAAGAGCATGTTTCTCCATTTCTCCTTTAGGGAAATACAATATTCTGCCTCTTTTAATATTCCCCAATATTTAATATTCTCCGAGCAAAGCGAGAGAGCGCGCATGGCCCCATTGCGATCCGGTAGTAAAGGTAAGTAGAACCCAACCCTGGTACCAATAGAAAATAAGAGTTTCTGACTGCTGCTGACAATTCATCCCAAATAGATGGATGACCTCACCCGGGGACTTCATATGGATGTTCAGTTTTAATCAGGAGAGTTTCCTACATTGGGAAAATTTGTTTATCTTATATGTAAGTACAATATTCCAGTCTTAAGTCACAGATGAGTGACGATTGACCAGTGAATTCAGAGACCTGTGATCTGGACACTGAGTTTTAATTTTGTACCCTAAATGAGGGGAAGCTAATGCCTAGCTGCCACAGGAAAGCTTAATGGCTTATTTAAGTTTTGTGAAGATTAGCCCAAAACGTTTTGTATTCTCGACAAGTAATTATGAGGATGTGGGTGAATGTAACCTGCCTATTAATGTCAGACGGAGTAGCAATAAAGTCTTCATTCAAAGTGCCAGAAAATGGATTGCATCCACAAAACGTTTGTTATCTTTCCTGACATACAGGTGCAAGTTGTATTTAATTCTACGTTTATTTCCGCATGCATTTATGCATCTTGCATAGAAATATATAAACAGATTAAAGATGGATATTTAAAGTAATAGTACTGGGAGGAGTAAATGTTTTGTATTTTGTAGGAAGGGAGAATAAAGAAACCAAGTTGGAATTCTCCCTTTTTGATTGTCATGAATTAATATTATGCAAGAAACCATTTTCTCCTCAGTCTGGCGTTTAGAATTAATTGCTTATCAATTCTTCCAGCTTTTGACTTTATTGATATGTGGATTGGGTGGCTATTTGTGTAGGATAAACAAAATATTCCAATTTCAAGGTTACAGTACTGTGTGGAGAAGAATCACTCGAGAGCTTTCCTTTGTTATTCCTTATGCTGTCCCTCCCTCTCTCACACACATATAACTGTTTATTAATATTTCCCAGCAACTCTCTTCATCAAAAACCCAGAATTGTCCCAATTAAGTCCAGCCACAAGCAGACCAATGCTAGTCCATCGAGCAGTTTCCCCATCAAAATAAACCCAGCAGGCTAAATTAAATCCACAACACAAGAGAGTTCATGAGGCAAGAAAAGTCCAGAGTTCACAAGGCACGATCCAAGTCAAGGCGTCAATCCAAAGCAAGGCAAGAATCACAACAACCAGAAAACACACAGCTAGGAAATGAACATGTTCCCAGAACCACTTCCAACTGTCTGCTGTGCTAAATAGCCAGCTTCTGGTGCAGCCTATCAAAAAAGGTGAGGCTTTCTCCTCATGAGTAATCTAGCTGACTTTCTCTGCTCCTGCCTTTTCTCTACTTGTTCTTGGATCAGTGGAGAAGACAGTTCCTTTTCCTCATCACTGACTGGCTGCAGCTATATGTTTTTTCCACCTGAAGCCTCAGGGCTGTCCTGTTGCAGCTGTGCTTCAGCCAAATCCCCCTCAGATGGCTGCTTGGCACCATTAACCATCTCCCCTTCAGAAGTGCCTGGAACTGTTTCATCTTCCTTTGAGCTGACATCTGGATAGATATCTGGGGAAGTGTCCAGGGAAGACATCACACTCCTATAAAAACAACAACAATGACAGTTTATTTAAAAAGAAAGTTCACACAGAACCTTCCCCATTGCTATTGCAGTGACTGAAGATATCATCATGTCACTGATCAAAGAAATTGGATAGAATTAGATCACCAAGTGAAGGCTTGATTAGATCTGCAAGAATATGATTCTATAGCAGGCCTGTCAAACTGGCGGCCCATGGGCCAAATGCATTACGCGCAGGCCACACCCACCCCGGTTCTGCAAAGGCAAAAAAGGTCACAATACATCACGATATGTCACGTAACGCGATTGAGTTTGACACCCGTGTTCTATAGCATTGCCATGATGAGTAGAATAGTGCCAGCCATTCAAGGTAGCCCACACCAGGAAACCAAAATCAGGAATACTAATAATATATTTATTTTAAAGTTACAGTAACAGAATCTGGCAAGTCTGAAAGTGCTTCCCTCTTCTTTTGCCTTTACATTCCAGAGAACCAGAGAGAGAGAGAGAGAGAATCACTTCTGAGATGGTTTTTCCATTCCTATTCCTGCTTTGGATTCAGATACCTTATCAGTCCATTGTCTAGGCTGCGGCTCTTCCTCCTGCTTCTCAAGGTTATTCTCACAGGCCATTACAATTAAGCAATGGTAACGTAAAAGCATGGGAATTACTTTTACTTCAGATCTAACCTGAACAATTGTAATACAGGTAAACCACTGATATTGCAAAGCAAACCGAATTCCTTTATTAAAATTCTCTTGGCATGGATTGTGCAGGTGTTCCTAGATAGGTCTTCTTATCTGGCAACACTACATTTCTTGGAGAAATGTCATCCGTTTTTTCCCCCTATTCAAATAAGAGCTGTAGTATCCCTCCTTAGATGTTTGAGAACCAACAATTGCTTGAAAAGAACTCAACAAGAAGAATTGGACTTGCTTCCTGCCCTTGATGATAAAGGCATTCAAATCTAACTCCATTGACAGCTAATTAGCAAAACTGGAATTGGGGTCAGATGGCTAAAATATCGAAGGTGTTTTATTTTAGCCAAAGTAAATTTCAGGAAGATGGGTTGCACTGAAAATTATGCAGAATTGAGAGAGTTTATTTTTTTTTTTACTTCTTTTCTCATAATACTAGAATACCAGGTCACTCCATGAAGCTGATTGGCAGTGTATTTAACAGAGGCAAAATAAAATGTGAGGATTTTTTTTTCTTGAATTAATGTTTGCAGTTTGTTTGCCATAAAGAAGGATAGGTGGATTTATTTATCATTTCTTTTATTTAGAATAAGTTTCTAGAATTTCTGAAGTGTTTCCCATGCAGAAAGCTCAATAGAAGCTAGAGAATCCCAACATTTTATAGCAACACAGTTGAGAATCAGAGAAAGCAAAGTTGTCTTTTCCACTTACCTCCTTCAATCTTACATTTCTGAGTTGCAACATACTTAGTTTTCAGTGGAGCTGTGGTGGAGGGAAGTTTATTCTAACCGATAAGGAAGTTGGTATCTGAGATTGTCAAATACACAAAATACTGGTAGTCCTCATTTTACGGCAACAATTAAGCCCAAAATTGCAGCATGTAAAAAATGAAAGGACTTCAATCCCTTGGTTGTGCCCACTACTTCAATGTCATTGACCCCACATCCCTAGGGATGCCCTGGATTGTAGACCTTTACTTTAATCCAGCACATTTACGACTGGATAGTTCTAAGGCTTGCGCTGAAGTAATTTTTTCAAATATTCACTCTCCGGTTGTCTACCAAAGAGCCAATGAAGAGGTTGTCCTGGATCAATGTAGAAAGTGTTCTACTTTCAAAAATATATATAAAAAATAACCAATATAAATATAAATAAAAGACCTATATTCTTCAAAAACTCAACTCTTGCTAAAAATGGAAGAGGCCAAACAGTCTTGGATCACTTGCTTTTCTGTGCTGGCAGGCTTGTTTTCACGGCTCATTAGCCAACTATTTTTGTTAACATATTAGAATGCCCTCACACCACTCACCCTCAGTTTTGTCCATATGTGGAAGGAAGGCAGCAAAAAGTTCTACTATTTTTTGAAGGCTTAGAGGAAATCTATGTAAACTCAAAGTGATTGGAAGGCAACTGGTTCAATCTGATGCCTCCAATCATTTTGAAGCGTTGGTTTGTAGACTTGGCGCAGTGATCAAAGTGCAGTATTGCAGGCTAATTCTGCCCACAGCCTGGAATTCAATCCTGATGGGGTTCAAGATTGACTCAGCCTCCCATCCTCCCGAGGTCGGTAAAATGAGGACCCAGATTGTTCCGGGCAATAGGTAAACAATACTTTTTCATTGTAAACTGCCCAGAGAGTGCTGTAAAGTACTATGGGGTAATATATAAATCTAAATGCTATTGCTATTGCTATGCATGTCTACTTGGAATACCACCTACTCTTAGTCAGTGGGTCATGCTCCCAAGAAAGATATAAGGAGTTACATTGGAAAGTTGTTTCATTGTTCCTTGCATCTTTAAGCTCGAGTACATTTCTGAGGGATAACTGATTAGTTCTTCAGCAACTCCCATATTACTGCTCCTAGAGAAGATGAAAAAGGAGTCATTTATTTTTTCATGTCCAGACAGTTTTCCTCTTGTCAAAATAAAAATGTGTTTCTTTGAATGCAATATACAGTACATGCAATGAAACCTTGATTTAATGGAGTAGTTGGGGAAAGAGGCATCCAGTAGACTCCAATGTTCATTAAATCTGAATGTATATTATTTATGCAAGTAGATAATTGTGCATATGATGTAAATCGATGCAGTAACATTAATTTACGTGACTCAAATGGACTTTATTTTGAGATGATGGCTGGTTGCCAATTTTGTTCACTGAAATGGAAGTCTAGTAAACTCAGGCTTGTTAAACTGAGGCTTTATTATACCAGTGCACGTGCACATATACACACACAAACACAGACGGACACAAAAATTGGTAACACTTTAAAGTTGATATTTTAATACCTTACGATCTATTTCAAAATTCTGTTGAGTGATGAATGCAAAATAGGTTTCTGCAAAAAATTAAATATATAGAATAAGATGGGGAACGTCAGTCCAAAAATTAGCACACACACACACACACACACAGAGAGAGAGAGAGAGAGAGGGAGAGGGAGAGGGAGAGGGAGAGAAACAGAGGGAAAGTGGGAAAAGCACTTTGATTTATTTCAGTTTAACTATAATTTTATTTCCTCCTTGTCAAAAAAGACAGACTTGTTTCTGTATCTTGGATGTAAATATAGTTAATGTGCTGAGGCTGCAATGCTTCCAGCGTGGAGGTCATTTAATAGTGACATAAATTATTTTACTGACTTTTCCTGCAAGTAAGCTATGACTCCATGTCGGATAAATGAATATCATAGGCATGTGATATTCCATCCTAACAAATATCTGGAATTTTATTTTCTTCTTTCTGTCAAAATGCTAGAGATTAACATGAATAATAAAAGTGGTGATCTATTCCCCCCCCCCCCCCATATCAACATTGAAGAATGAGATCTATTCCATTAATGAATATATCAAAAGTGGCTACTTTCTTTTCAATTCAGGAACCTTCTGACAATATTGAGCTTCCAATAAACTTTGTGAAAAAAAAGGTTCTAAAGAAGTTTTCAAAGAAATCTGAGACAGAAAGCCCTCCATATAGTACTAAATGCTGCTTTTAAGGTCTAACGTTGAATTGGGTAGTAATTTGTAACACTATTATTTCAGTTTTGTTTTCTTCTACCATAAGCACTGAAGTGCCTTCGCTTAGATAGCTAGTCCACACATAATAGAGATTTCACCGGCAGAGGAGGAACATCGGGTGAAAAGGTCAGCTTTGAAGAAGTTTCAGACTGTTGGAAATGAAGCTTGAAAATGGGGGTGGGGTGGGGGAGATGATTTACAAGTGAGCTGATGACTAAGTTCATAGGAATTTTTAGAAGTGATTCTTAAGTGTTGTTAAAACTGAAATATGGGCTCTTACTAGAGACGATAGAAGCCATCAACGAGTCACTTAAAAATCTATATTCTGCCCTAGGATGGGTACTCCAGGCTGGATCATGAGCGATGGATCATTTGATCTCTACTACAGAAGAATAAAAAAATGTGCTTCCTTTCCCCAAATTATAGTAGAGATGCTGTGATTGATATGCACAGAGAACTCCTAAAGCAGGAGTAGACAATCCTCTTCTTCCAGATTTTTGTGGTACAATTTCTAGAATCCCTGATCCATAGGTCATACTTGATGGACAAGATGGGAATTAGAGTCAAAGCACATGCAGGACATCAAATTTTCTATCTCTGTCACAGGATAAAACTGACATGTAAAAAGATAATGTTTTTATCAAGTCAGACTTGACTCCTGATGATTCTATTGACATATTGATGCAATTTTATTGGCAATAGAGTGAAAATAGTTTGCCATTACTTTCTTCAGATATGTTTTTTGTCCTTCATAAAGAAGCATACAGTCTTACTACTTCCCATCCAGGTACCAATCAAGTTTGACTCAGCTTAGCATTTTTGGAGATCATCCAGTCAGCTACTGTAGATGCTACCATCTATTGTGAACAACAATGGCTCCAACCTATTTCCTTGGACCCATGTCTAGTGTTCTGGGATTGGATTAAGGCTTTCAGATCTGGGCTGCAAAAATCTACATGAACACATCAAAGCAAAAAGTTAGTGTTCTCTCCTATCAAGAGAACATGGATAGAAATCTTCTAGTAACCTTTCCATTCAGCACTAGACTGTTGGGATATTTAAGGGCGAGGCTAACACAAGGGAAAACATTGTGGGTAGGTCTAGCATGTAACACTGTAATTCAACTTTCTATAACATGTAGAAAGGTTAGGGTTACAAATTCCAGTTGGCTATTCAGCCTTCCAATTCTAGAAATTGCAGTTTATATTCATCTGCTTTATCCTGTTCCATAAAATGCTGGATTAGGGCTAGGACGCTTTTAGGAAGTCCTCTCTAGAGACAGGTTTTATTGCTGTATTAATAGTAGGATGTCACAAAGTAAGTGCTTTTCTGTCTTCATTGCATTCATTTTGCATTCATTATGTGAAACACATACTTTTGTAAACAGCTATAACAATCACAGTTGTGTGATGCGTAAATAAACAATTAACTGGAGAGCTTTTGACAATTCTAAAACATAAGGGTCTAACCAGTGTTGGAATCCACTAGTGTAGCATTTTTGACACATGATCACCCACTCTCTATTTAAACACAGTAGGTTCCATTCTTAGCCAGATTTTATCATTAGACATTTTTTCCTGTTGCCTACTCCAAATCTATTTCCTTCCAATTTAAACCTATTTTTCTTGTCCTGACTTCTGAACACCTCTGAAGACCTTTATCCTGCTTTCTAACTGATAATCCATCAACTACTTGAAAACAGCTATCATGACTTCCTGTAGCCTTTCCTTTTCCAATTTCTATCTACTCAATGACTCCAACTGTTCCTTGCACATTTTTCCTTCAAAGCTTCTTATTATCTTGGTTGTTCTCCTCTGAATGTGCTCTCAAAAGCCTCTTGATTGCTATCTGCTGACTGCTACTTTTATGTTTATAGCTTTAATGGCAATGTATTGAGACATCACAAATACAATGGTCACCAAAGCAAATGTTTACTGAATAATTCTTCAGAAGAGGAATACTTATTAAGTAGTATTAAATCTTCCACTAACACATTACAAACATAATTTCATGCAATCACATCATCAAATGGTTGCATTATATACTCCATTGCACTGGCTTTGTGTATTTATGTGAATGAGGGTACTAGTTTAATTTAACTTTAAAAGAACCTTGCAATTAAATGATCCTGATGAATGTTAACAGGATACCGCAAAAATTCCTTACAAACAATCAATAGGAGAGGACAAATCAATATAAAATGTCTTAACCTCATTGTTCTGCGTTCCAATAGCTTTTAAAAATATTCTGAAGAATCATTTCATATTGACTAGTTATCACTTCATATATATTATCACGGAGAGGTGAAAATAGCATTGTTTCTTTAACTTATTTTGTTCTACAGAATGATGGCAAAGAGAGAATCAGAGTAAAAGTAATTGTAAATTAACCTTATACTGACCTCTTCAAATCAAATATTTCCAATAGAAATGGATGGATGGACAGACAGATAGCGATCACTCAAAAAGAAGTGATGACAACCATATAGCTAGAATAAGTTTTGGACACTGATGCAGGACAAATTTCTGCAATTCTTTCACCAAATCTTTCAGTTGAAATGAAACTTGCTATTAATATTCAATTGAGTGTGTTGAGCAGCAAGCATTTAGGATCTTCAATAAGAGCACTAACTATATTCTGAAGTTTCTAATTTGAAATACAAAGGAAAATAAATAGTGTAATTATACATCTATTTACTTGGAAGTAAGCTGCATGGTAACCAGTGATCTTATTCTTCGACGTATGTTGTTACAATCATAAAGAAAGAGAAAGAAGGTTGACTTCTGACATAAACCAGGCACAAACCGTCTGCTAAGCCAGAGGTCTCCAACCTTGGCAACTTTAAGCCTGATTACTTAAAGATTACAGCAAAGTTGGCTGGGGAATTCTGGGAGTTGAAGTCCGCCAGGCTTATAGTTGCCAAGGTTGGAGACCCCTGTGCTAAGCTATACTGTGGCTTGTATCTTTGCAGCTCAGTAACTGACCCCAGATGTAGTTTGCAACCCATAGTTTACAGCATAGTGTTATATGCGAAGCAATCCACTATGGCTTGTTCAATAAACAAGATGTAATAAAAAAACATCTCTGTGTAATGTGTAAACCTAGCCATTTAAGACGAAGAATTTTTAAACATGCAAATAGGAAGGCTTTATATTATGCTTTAGCACAATGCGTGAATCTTATGTCTCTCTTAGAAAGTTATGTCCTCCCCCCTTTTTTTCATGGCAGGCTAGATTTTTCTTTAAAAAGAGCCTTTTCCAACTGGCTCCAAGGTAAGGGAACTTACAACTATCACCTGATATTGCTATTCTTTTCTTACTTAGTGTTTTCTCCTTCGTTCATTTGACAGATTAGTAATGTTCTTGTTAGGGGTTGATTGTTTTCTCTTGATCTGTTTTTAATGAATTCTGTATCACCTGAGTTATTTCTGCAACTGAGGTGGTCCTTAAATGGACTAAATAGTAAATAAAAGAACTCCTGAACTTGCTTACTTTTTTTTTTTCTGTAGTGCTGTGTCGGAGTTGTCAAAGTTGCCAAAGCTTGTCAAAGTTTGCTTGTATTTTTTTCTGCGGTGACATGTCAGAGTAGCAAGTAGTGGCATGTTGCCTTATTATCGTTGTTACAGTTTAGAGGATGAAAACCAGGATTTTGGTCCCAGAATTCTTGCAACCTGGAAGAAAGATGACAAAGCAGCTTAATACACGCAATGAAAATTACTAAAAGCAAGTAAACTATTAATTTACCACTTTACAAAGCTTTAGTAAAACCACACTTGGATACTGCACCCAGTTCTGATCACCACGATATAAAAAAAAATGTCAAGATTCTGGAAAGAGTGCAGAGAAGAGCAACAAGAATGATTAGGGGGCTGGAGGCTAAAACATACGAAGAACGATTACAGGAATTGGATATGTCTAGTCTAATGAAAAGAAGGACTATGGAAGACATGATAGCAGTGTTCCAATATTTGGAATATTTGTCCTACAAAGACGAGGGGCTCGAACTATTTTCCAAACCACCAAAAGGCAAGATGAGAAACAATGGATGGAAACTAACCAAGGAGAGAAGCAATCAAGAACTAAGGAGAAATTTCCTAACAGTGAGAGCAATCAACCAATGGCCTTCAGAAGTTGTGAGTGCTCCATCACTGGAGGCTTTCAAAGAGACTGGACCATTTATCTGAAATGGTTATGCTTGAGCAGAAAGTTGGACTAGAACAGGTATGTCAAACTCGGGTTGGATGCGTCACACGCTGGCCATGCTCACGCCCGTTTTAGCGAAGGGGAAAAAAGTTGTGATACATCACATGACGATGCGAATTTGACACCCATGGACTAGAAGAACTCCAAGGTC